TATTTCTACACCATAGGAAAGTTAGCACAGGCACCTCTGTGACCACAAATGCAAGTGTCATTACGATTTCTTGAGTCATGTTGACGGCAGTGTAGGGACTTGAGCTAGAGTTCGTCACGGCCACGCTAGCTGGAGATTCGTCTGTAAAAACTTGCATTTGTGGTCACAGAGGTGCCTGTGCTAACTTTCCTATGGTGTAGAAATATACCTAGTTGGATGAATCTTATTGTGGCTAGCTGGTCTAGTGGCTAACGCGACGGGCTGGAGTTTTGAGACTCTATGTCCGCGGGTTCAATCCCGGCCGGGGGTATGGTTTATTTGCAATCGTGTCATTACGATTTCTTGAGTCATAAAGATGTACTTTGCTTGTACTATATACAAGCTATACGCTCGCTCATTGACTACGGTGCACCGGCGTTAGCTCATCTCTTCCCGCAGAGCAGGCAAAGGGTGGAGGTCGTACAAAACCAGGCGATAAGAACTATGCTTGGTGCCCCCATCTGAACCAACACAGTATGTCTCAGATCTGAGGCCCGGCTTCCTTCCTTGGCTGACAGAGTAAGATACATAAACGCCTGCAAAGTGGCCACGATTCTGCACCGGCAGCAAGGTACCCCACTAAGGAGACGGATATTAACAACCATGTCACAAGATCCCACACTCTTCACGGACTACTCCTGGATTCGTTCGTTTTGTGCTGCTGGGCGGAAGCTGCTGCCTGTACAGCTGCTCTGTGAGAAGAGTTGTGACCTTTCTGTTGCTGGGTACCATCCACCACCTCCCTGGCGCCCAGATCCAGCCGATGTTTACATCATGCAGCTACCCATCTCTAAGTGTCTCTGCAGTCAAGACACCCTCAGCAATCATGCTGAGACAAGCATGGCACTGGCAGAGGGAGGCACATGTGCAGTGTATTTCACAGATGGGTCTGTCGACCCTGACAGGAAGAGAGCAGCAGCTGGACTGTACCACAATGGTCACACACAAGGCTGGCGACTCCCTGACCACTGCACGATCCTTCAAGCCGAGCTGGTGGCGATTCAGCAGGCATTGTCACATGCCCTACGACATCGACTCCGACCTCTCATACATGTTGATTCCACCTCTGCAATCAATGCCCTCTCCCATCCTCAACCACAGGATAATGTTCACCTTATCACATCGATCCTGAGCACAACGACAGCCTTAGAAGTTCAGGGTAATAGATCGACATTGAACTGGATCCCCAGCCATGCTGGCATCCGGGACAATGAGGCGGCAGATGATGCAGCCAAGGCAGCAACAGACTATCCACATGTTGGGATTACTGTCCCAATCAGCCTACGACAGACCAAACTGGTGGCTGCCAGAGCCACGAAACTTATGAGGGAGGTCTTAGGTGATACCCCATCTCAACAGTGGTACCGAGCAGCGACTCAGGGAGAACCCCCTCCATATGACAGAAGCTGGTCCGGAGCGCAGTGTACCGCCATCCATCGGCTTCGTTTGGGCTTTCCCACAGCCAAGATGATGGTAGACAAGGCTGAGGAGGAGATGTGCCAGTACTGTCAGCACGTTGTCCAGCGGCCCCTAACATACTATCTTCTAGAGTGCGAAGCTACCGAGACACTCCGCAGGCAACTAGGGGTGATATTCCCTCCCGAAGAGGACCCAGAGATGACTGCGGCCACACTAGTGTACCATGGGGTCAACGAACCAGACAAGCTGTTACCTGTGATAATGACATATCCTCCTCCTCGCTAGTGTTCATAGTTACATATGGTGTCGCTTATGAGATGCACCAATTGAACTGACCAGAGGGCGCTTGAGCGCATGCGTCGCATCACTGTGGAAACCTTTCTCCATCGGGAGCCAGAGACGGGTCATCGCAAGATTGGGACCCGTGCCAGGACTATGGTCTTGGCGAACATTATACATACATACCTATGCTGTACATTCTACAAGATCGATGGACTGAACACATCGACTCCAGGTTGAGGCACTGATTACCTCATACACCTCCTCTCCTTGCGCCTTCCTCTTTGTATTGGACTGATGAAGCCACTGTGTGGCGAAACGTTTCCTGAATAAAGATTCCCACAATCTGCATAAGTGTCTCAATCTTCAACTTGTCGGTTTTTCAAACCATTCATCACAACTGTCAGACACTGCAGCGTCAGGGGATATTGTTGCAAAAAATTTCTTCAACCCCTTGTTAAAAACCTTTAGACGAAGACCTACTTCGACTAGTGGATGGTACCACTATGACCCCGCCTCCGCCTGCTTCACCTCACCTCACTACAGTCTACGGCCCTATGCTCTACATTCTACAAGATTGATGGACTGAACACATCGACTCCAGGTTGAGGGACTGATTACCTCATACTCCTCCTCTCCTTACGCCTTCCTCTTTGTTTTGGACTGATGAAGCCACTGTGTGGCGAAACGTTTCCTGAATAAAGATTCCCATATGCTGCATAAGTGTCTCAATCTTCAACTTGTCGGTTTTTCAAACCATTCATCACAACTGTCAGACACTGCAGCGTCATGGGATATTGTTACAAAGAATTCTTCAACACTTGTTCAACGTTTAGACGAAGACCTACTTCGACTAGTGGATGGTACCACTATGACCCCGCCTCCGCCTGCTTCACCTCACCTCACTACAGTATATAAGCCACGTCTACGGCCCTATGCTGTACAGCACTGCTTACTCACGATGCATTACTCTAACAGAGTAAAGATCAAACCAGCGAGTGGCACAACCAATGAGTCGTCCAAACTAGCACTTGCAGCTGTCGTTAGTGGCAGGCTGCAAGTCAAATGTAATGCGATTTTATCGCTCAAAGAGGCCTTTGATGTCGTCTGTACAGACGACACAGAGGCTGAGAAACTACTTACCACTACTGCTACTACCACTCTACGAGACCAGGGATTTCTTGTCTTGACTTCCCCAGCACTGAGGGCCGGGAGAACTGGTGTTCCTCAAGCGACTCGAAAACCTTATCACTGTACAGGCCACTGAAGAAATGAAGTAAATCTTCGAAGCAAAGAACCCTTGGGCCAAGGGAACTTCATTACTAAAATACCCAGTGCTTCATCCATGCTGAAGGTCACCTTCAGTGACGTCAACATGGCAGCCAGAGCTCTCGCTGAGGGCCTGGCTATTCACTACTTCCACATCAACCCAGCCTTCATCGAAGCAGAGAAATTCCAACATATCTCACAGTGCTATAATTGTTACTCATACTTACACACCACAAATGATTGTCCTACCAAGGACAAGAAGTTCTGCTCCACCTGTGGCCGTGAGGGTCATGACTTCAAGAATTGCACTACTAATTCAACACCTAAATGCTTGAACTGCAAGAATGACCACCATACTCTTGCTGCCAGGTGCCCTACCAGAAGAGACATACTCAAGAAACAACAACAAAAGAAACCCAACCCACAAGCAACCACATATTCTGCTATCACCAAGCTTCAAGCAGACACTACCAAGATACTACAAGCCACGCAAGCTGCTCCCACCACTTCCCTGCCAGCACCTACTGCCGACTCCACCAAGATTCTTTATTGCATTATGTATGCTCATGTACAGAATGCAGCTGAGCCTGGTTCCTTCAACACCACCATCAATGAACTTTTCAAACTAAATAATATGCCTGGCCTCACATTCCCTGCATCACCACCTTCCACTGAGATCCTAAAATCTACTGCAAATATTACCAGCATCACTGCTGCTCCACCGCTGTCACAACCTCTACTAGACACAGAGATGGACCAATCAGAGACCACTGAGACGTCGTCAAACCCCACCAATGAGAGTCCACTATCGCTTGCATCCACAGCTAGAGCAACTGACCAGTCAGAAATCTCACCTTCACCAGTTCAGCCACCAGCCAAGAAAGCAAAAACACAAGAAACTGCGGATGCACCTCACGGTGCCACTGCCACTGACACTGCTGCACCACAACTAGTCCGATATCTGAAGGGTGTATACTTCTACACAACCAAGCAGTATAAGAACACAATGCTGTCTTCAGAAATCCATCAGCACCTCCAGGACGGAACACTCAAGTATACCTACGACCAAACTGTTACATACACCACTGCAGACATGACCAGACTACTCACTGCAACAACACCAACAACCTTGTGGAAGTCGAGTACACCTCAAAGAGGAAATTCAGGATGCTTCAGAATGGGGACCTTGAAGACGGTACCCTCGTCTAGCATGACTATCCATGACCATTCACCCAGCACTTTGCTGTCCGCTAAAGCTGGGGTGTGGCTCCAATCGACCCTGTACTGCTGCCTCTGCCCGACTGCACTTCTCTTTGGGAAGTCAGCGGAAGATAGAAGAAGACGACACCCTCCAACCGGAGGGCCAAGAAAGAAGGAAGAAGATGATGATTGTCACCCCCCACCCGGGGGGCAACTGCCGGGTCACCATCTGGAGAAGACCTGGGCCGGAAGTACCAGCGAATCAACATGAATGAAAATAAACACCAACACACGACACTCCACACAGGAGAGCACAGCGCTAGCACGATCGACACCATGCCTAGCCCTTCTAGGGCAGGGTTGGTGCCAGAGCCCGAGTTTGTAGCTCACAAGATGAGAGGGGTACTTGTGCCTCCTCCCATGGGAGACTTAGGTCTCAGACACTCCCTAGACAGGGAGCCAGTGCCGGGCCACCACTTGGAAGGGCCCGGGCCGGGAGAATACCGGCGAATCTTTAACAACAACCTATGCTGTACATTCTACAAGATTGATGGACTGAATACATCGACTCCAGGTTGAGGGACTGATTACCTCATACTCCTCCTCTCCTTACGCCTTCCTCTTTGTATTGGACTGATGAAGCCACTGTGTGGCGAAACGTTTCCTGAATAAAGATTCCCATATGCTGCATAAGTGTCTCAATCTTCAACTTGTCGGTTTTTCAAACCATTCATCACGACCTGCCTCGTATGGGCCAGTAGGCCTTCTGCAGTGTTCCTACATTCTTATGTTCTTATGTTCTTATTTCTTCTCACACTTGACAGAGGGTTAGCGCCCGACTCTGGTGACTCATTAATCTACTATTATTAAGATGAACACCAAGACTAATACAAGGTACTTTTCCGTACGAGTTACCTTGCCTTTTCTCATGAACTTGATTTCTTTTGCCTCTTGAGTGGATACTATCAGAAAGGTCTCGTTATTTACTGCTGGATTGTTACTCATTTCCTCGAAGGAGCAGTGACGAGTCAGCCATGACACCTGCTCTTCATTCACATCCTTTCCCAGAAAAGCTGCCACTTGCCTCACTACTGCCGCCAGGTCCTGCACTCAACATGTCCATAATATAAGAAAAAATATTGGTTAGATTATTCATAGTATTTAATTAAATATTGTAGGTCACCATAATGTACATAGAAATTTGATAAAGGCAAAATAACTCGACGAGAAATTTTTAAATCAAAACATGTTTACTTAAATACTACAGCATATCATACATGCTATTCATCATTATCACTGTAATATCACATGTCAAAAGAGATTAAAACATTACCTTCTTCATGTCTTCATACTGAAGGAAGAGGATGTGATCTTCATGTCTCATCTTCCAGAACTTCAGGATGTGCGGCCAGTAGGGTGAGTACTTTACTGTCGAGGAGAGTTAACAGTGAGTGTACTTCATCACATAACACCATCCAGTGTCACGTTCCCCTTCGTTGTGTCACTCATTAAATGTGTATCAATGGTACAGCAGATGGCTCACTACCAATAAGGCCCAGGTTTGATTCTTGGCTAAGGCGAGTCATTCTACTTACATAAGAAAAGAGGAACACTGCAGTTGGCCTGTTGGCCTATACTTGGCAGGTCCTTTACAATACCAACCCACTACCAGAACATTTGCCCAACCCACTTTCAGTGCTACCCTAACAATAAGCTCTGACAAATATGGTAGGTAAGACACATAGGCAACAGTTAGGCAACTTTATTCCGAAACGTTTCGATTACACAGTAGGCTTCTTCAGTCGAATACAGAAAGTAGGCAGGAACAGTAGAGATGTGAAGACGATGTAATCAGTCCATCACCCTTGAAGTCGTAGAATTTGAGGTTGTCAGTCCCTCAGCCTGGAGAAGTTCAAGCGACAGTGCGGAGACTTAAATACTGTCGGAAGGAGAGGTGCAGAGTAGTAGTAGTAGCGATAATGAAGCCACTGAGAGGTCATTTCCCTCTCAGATCCAACAATTCTCACTTGAAAAGGTTGTCCACGGTGTTTTCTGTACCAAGATGCCATGTGTTGCAGTGTCTGACAAGATGAACATCAAAATGGTTGTGATGAATGGTTTGAAAAACCGACAAGTTGAAGATTGAGACACTTATGCAACATATGGGAATCTTTATTCAGGAAACGTTTCGCCACACAGTGGCTTCATCAGTCCGATACAAAGAAGAAAGGCGTAAGTAGAGGAGGAGTTTGAGGTAATCAGTCTCTCAGCCTGGAGTCGACGTGTTCAGTCCATCAATCTTGTAGAATGTACAGCATAGGTATGTATGTATGTATAATGTTCGTCAGGACCAGGGTCCTGGCACGGGTCTTAATCTTGAGATGACCCGTCTCTGGCTCCTGAAGGAGAATTGATTCTTCTCTGTTGCAGCATGTAAGCGTTTGGAATTTCACTATTCTTTCAAGCACTGTTCCGGACAGTTCAGCTAGTGTGCCTCATAAGCGACTGAAGTTACTCCATCTCAGCTGTTTCTTGAACTGGGGACTGGGCTCTGTCCTCTCTGATAATCTGCGGATTCATGGCATCCACTGCTTCCTGCTCTGTCAGTAAGCACACCCTCAGGAGTGTGCTGACCATCTGCCGGAACATGCTCTGTTGTTCCGTGGAGGTGATTGTGTTGCAGATAATATCCGTGAATGCCTTGATGAGTGTTAAGAGATCCTCTCTGTTGAGGGCCTGCGTTGTCGGTGGGTTCGAAGCAGTGGACATTATCTGGGCTGTCGTAATCTGTGGGGACTGCTGAGGGTTGTATTTCTTCACTGTGCACACCGTGGGCTGTTGCTGTATGCCAGGTTGTGTACCCGGCATCTGCTGGTGAGGAGCAGCCACAGCCTGTATAGTGGCTGTGCCTGGCAAGGAGGCTGGTGGGGGCTCGTGTAGTGCCGTCTGCTGATTGCGTTGCCCAGATGTTTCCTGTTGGCGCCGCTTGTTCCTCATGTTTTTGTTTCTTCGTTGCGGTAGTGGGGGAGGATGCTCCTGTTCATGATGCCTGGTTGAGTTTTCAAGGGTCGGAAATTCCTGGGCATTGAGTTGGGTTGACTGATGAGAGTTCTGCAGTATGGAAGGATTCTCTGCACCCATCGTCTGCTGAGGGTGATGCTCTGCCGTAGCCTGCTGTCTCGTCGTTGGTGTCTTCCAGGTCTCACGAATTCTAGTGAGCCTCTCAGGGCATCGAGGGTTCCAGGCATGGTGTTTCTGCCTGCAATTCGGGCATCGTGGAGTGGGTGGCGATGCATTCTTCAGCTTGGTGATGCATTCCTCGGTAGGGTGGGGCTGGCTGCAGACACCGCAGATTACTCTGTTCGGACAGAGTGCACCCAGGTGTCCATAACGCTGACACTTGAAACAACGAACTGGTTCTGCCGTGAAGGTCCTGACATCGTACCCTGCCCCAAAAACCCAAAGGGTCCAGCTGGGATGGCAGCGGTCCTACACGCTGCATGAGGACCTGCCGGGATGGTGCATTGCATGCCGATTTTGCCTTGAGACGCTGAGCTGACACGACACGGGTGAGCTGCTACTGCCTCGATGGGCATCATCAGCGGGTATCGCATCACTACACCCTTGGTGACCTTCTGCCGAGAATCCAGTTCCTCCAGGGTGAAGGAGCGGTCTGTCTCCATGACTTTCTTCAAGGTGATATGCATTTCCCTGTTGATAGGAGTCAGTATTGGTTCTCCCCTCAGGTTGAACCATATCTTGAACCTCAGTTTGTGCCGTGTTTCCAGGTGTGTAACCACGCCATAGTGGGTTTTGTGTTCCCCATAAGCCTTTACCTTGAATCTGGAAGGTGATTTGAGCAACTTTACCTGCTCCTTGGAGGGACGGCGTGTCTTACTGTTCACATTGATCCATCCTTCCGTATTCTCTGGTTGCATGGTTAGGCTTGTCAGAACTGGAGACTTTTCCTCTGATGACACGGAGTGGCCTCGCAACTTCTTCGCTAGGATTGCGCCCCACATTTCTAAATCCGAGTCGTCCATTTCTAAATCCGAGTCATCCGTCGTGTCCCCGGAACATCGTGACCTCTTCCTTTCGCCAGAAGCCATGTGTCTCTCCACGTGGTGCTGGACTGTGATGCTGAAGTGGCTTCATCAGTCCGATACAAAGTAGAAAGGCATAAGTAGAGGAGGAGTTTGAGGTAATCAGTCCCTCAGCCTGGAGTCGATGTGTTCAGTCCATCAATCAGGCTGAGGGACTGATTACCTCAAACTCCTCCTCTATTTACGCCTTTCTACTTTGTATCGGACTGATGAAGCCACTGTGTTGCGAAACGTTTCCTGAATAAAGATTCCCATATGTTGCATAAGTGTCTCAATCTTCAACTTGTCGGTTTTTCAAATCCATTCATCACAACTGTCTGACACTGCAGCATCATGGGATCTTGTTACAAAGAATTCTTCAACACTTGTCCAACCTTTGGACGAAGACCTACTTCTACTAGTGGATGGTACCACTATGACCTCACCTCCTCCTGCTTTGCCTCACCTCACTACAGTATATAAGCCACGTCTACGGTCCTATGCTGAGAGCCATGACGAGGCACCGTGCAGGGGCAAGCAAAGATGTACTTCGCTTGTACTATATACAAGCTATACGCTCGCTCATTGACTACGGTGCACCGGCGTTAGCTCATCTCTTCCCGCAGAGCAGGCAAAGAGTGGAGGTCGTACAAAATCAGGCGATAAGAACTATGCTTGGGGCCCCCATCTGGACCAACACAGTATGTCTCAGATCTGAGGCCCGGCTTCCTTCCTTGGCTGACAGAGTAAGATACATAAACGCCTGCAAAGTGGCCACGATTCTGCACGGGCAGCAAGGTACCCCACTAAGGAGGCGGATATTGACAACCATGGCATGAGATCCCACACTCTTCACGGACTACTCCTGGATTCGTTCGTTTTGTGCTGCTGGGCGGAAGCTGCTGCCTATACAACTACTCCTTGAGAAGAGTTGTGACCTTCCTGTTGCTGGGTACCATCCACCACCTCCCTGGCGCCCAGACCCAGCCGATGTTTGCATCATGCAGCTACCCATCTCTAAGCGTCTCTGCAGTCAAGACACTCTCAGCAATCATGCTGAGACAAGCATGGCACTGGCAGAGGGAGGCACATGTGCAGTGTATTTCACAGATGGTTCTGTCGACCCTGACAGGAAGAGAGCAGCAGCTGGACTGTACCACAATGGTCACACACAAGGCTGGCGACTCCCTGACCACTGCACGATCCTTCAAGCTGAGCTGGTGGCGATTCAGCAGGCATTGTCACATGCCCTACGACATCGACTTCGACCTGTCATACATGTTGATTCCACGTCTGCAATCAATGCCCTCTCCCATCCTCAACCACAGGACAATGTTCACCTCATCACATCGATCCTGAGCATAATGACAGCCTTAGAAGTTCAGGGTAACAGATCGACATTGAACTGGATCCCCAGCCATGCTGGCATCCGGGGAAATGAGGCGGCAGATGATGCAGCCAAGGCAGCAACAGACTATCCACATGTTGGGATTACTGTCCCAATCAGCCTACGACAGACCAAACTGGTGGCTGCCAGAGCCATGAAACTTATGGGGGAGGTGTTAGGTGATACCCCATCTCAACAGTGGTACCGAGCAGCGACTCAGGGAGAACCCCCTCCATATGATAGCGCAGTGTACCGCCATCCATCGGCTTCGTTTGGGCTTTCCCACAGCCAAGATGATCGTAGACAAGGCTGAGGAGATGTGCCAGTACTGGTCGGCACGTTGTCCAGCGGCCCCTAACACACTATCTTCTGGAGTGCGAAGTTACTGGGACACTCCGCAGGCAACTAGGAGTGATATTCCCTCCCGAAGAGGAACCAGAGATGACTGAGGCCACACTAGTGTACCATGGAGTCAACGAACCAGACAAGCTGTTGCCTGTGATAACGACATATCCTCCTCCTCGCTAGTGTCCATAGTTAGGAGTACATACGGTGTTGTCGCTTATGAGATGCACCAGTTGAACTTACCAGAAGAGTGCTTGAACAGCATATGTCGCATCATTGTAGAAACCTTTCTCCCTCGGGAGCCAGAGACGGGTCATCGCAAGATTGAGACCCGTGCCAGGACTACGGTCTTGGCGAACATTATACATACACATACCTATGCTGTGTCACTCCACTCCAAAAACATCATCGTAAGACACAGTCGCTCCTCACCTCAAGAAGTGTTCCTTCGATCCCCATCGGGGAGGGAACCTATAGTCATCGTACCAGCGCCTGACTTACTCCTTCATGATGCTTGTGAGGATCAAACCCAACAGTGGAGTAATAAATGACTCTACTAAACTTGCCCTTGCTGCCGTTGTAAAGACTTGCCTACAGGTTAAATTTACAGCGAT